AAAATTGAGAATAAACTAAATGAAGTAGCACGTAAAGTTTACTATTTATATTTACGGCAAAATGAAAGCAAGCATGATCACTATATTCGGTCGTATTTCATTAAAACATGTGTTCTATGGTTATGTGAACAAAATCAATTGGACCAGATCAAACTGACAAATGACGATGAGCTGACAAGAATTTTAACAAAGCTCTTTGTGGAATTTGCTCGAACAAAGGTGAAAGATAAACTGTGTCCCCACTATTTCATCGAAAATCTCAATATATTAGCGTATTATGATGACTGTGTAATACAATTGGCGTACCAAGCGCTCGAATCCGTTGATATTGTGCAGAAAATCGATGACATAGATACAGTTGAATGGCTTGAAGTATTAAAATTTTGTCCCGACATGATCAGATGTTATCGTAAATTTCAAATAGATAATTTTAACGATCACTCATCTATCTATATTGCCGATAAATATGACTCATCGTTAAGGTTATTGTTTTTATGTTTTTACATTTTAGAAAATAACAATCCAAATTGGTGGAATCAGTGGTGTGATACCATTCTGATATCAACGTCGGTGACAGAGGCAATGAATATAGATCAGCTTAGCATCTCTGATATTGTTATCATCGTGCACGATTTATTCTATGCTATTCAACGTATGTGGCCCTTCTTCCGTTATATTTTGACTGAAGATGAAATTGCACAACGATACGCCAGGAAACAGAGAACATTAATAAACTATGCTATACGAATTTGTGAGAAATGGATGTATGATGCACAACTAAATAGGCTGATGGGTCAGACACGAACAAAGGAGATAAAGTGCGGTCAAGATGCGAAAAAAATTCGAGTGATTAATTACAGTTCATCAAAAGAGGACGGAATAATATTTGAAAATTCATCATCTAATGAGAATCAATGTTTAATAGTGATAAGTGGTACGGAAGCACAAACATTTTCGGTTGAAACTGCACTCTATGACTTCTGGCGAGTGAACATGCCAGAGATAATTACAAGCTGTGCAGCGGCCACTGTGGTTGGATTTTCAATGATAAAATTTATGTTTACAGCCGATGACCGGTATCGACAACATCCAATCCAAAGAATACTTTTACCATTGACAAGATGTTTTCGGCTTCTCTATGCATTGCTACGTATCAGAAGAACGAATGCAAAATGAGTTTTAGTAACTGATATGTGATTGCAGAAACCACAGAACTGACGAAAACGTTGCACGAAAGATAGTTTCCTACAGAAAGAAAAACATGAGAAGCGATACACTTGACTCAAATAAGAGTTGAAACCAGTATTTATCAGACATTAGTTGTTTTCTCCTAATATAGAAAAAGTAGTTTGATAGTAGAAAAAAAAATAGGACACGGTTGAGTAACGAATTATTCGTTACCTAACTATCTCTTCGATAGTAATACAGTCAGCTCCACCTGCCCGAAGAGCAATATGACTCATTTGTGATCAATCTGTTTGTTTCGCTTTTAATAAGAACTCCATGTTAATTTTTTTTATGTTATTACTTAGCCAGGAATGCAACAGATAGTACAAGTACTTCGTTGTACACATCCACATTGGATTTGAGTACGGCACAACCTGTGAGGATAATGGCCTTACATTGTACTTGACCTTGCTTTGTACTCACTAACTGTTTCTAATAAATCATTCTATATCTATCGCACTTCATATTCTTCCGCTGTAAAAATGAGCTCAATTCCATGCTATTAGAGAACATTAGTTAATTGCATCAGCGATAAAACGATTTCAACATATATGACACATGTGTTAACTTAAATATGTTCTACGAGTATTCTTTGTCAAAGAATAAAGGTAATGAAAAGAAATTGAAAGTTGCATCATAAAGAAATCTTTATTTATCTTCGTCATCGTATATGGCCTCGCATCGAAAAGTTACAGACATTTTCCTACAAGTCATAAAATCGACTATTTCATACAGTAATCGATAGAAAGAAACTTGGGTTAGCACACTTTTTTAGACCAAAGCGTGTAAAAAAGATGATTGAGAATCATCGATGTTATCTTCTCGAATAGCTTTCATTTCTAGACAACTGTAATTGCGAGTTGAGATACTAGTCCGCTTAGTTAAATCTATTCCAGGTTTGTCTTTCCTTGTTTTTGTTTTTCGTATGTTAATTTTTTATGTTATTGAAAAACAATTTTCGGGTAGAGCTATGTAGAATGTGAGAATGACCAACAT